TTTTGTGAGAAATAGATTTGACCTTAGAGTTGAGATAAATTTTTTTGGTATAATTAAAGCAGATAATACTGATTGTTCAATCAATTATTTTTTTTTAAGGAATGTTTTCAAAAAACTCATCCTGTTGAAGCTGTTTTAACCCATTGGTTCCAAGGAGGCTTTTGATTGTTCAACAAATTCTCCTTGCAAGCATCTTAAGAAATGTATAGAGAATAGAGAATAGTATGGAGAATACGCATACTGATGTAAGGGTGTTACGGGTTAAATAGCCTGCCATTCCATTGAAATTGTGTTCAAAATTTTTTGACTTTAGAATTCCTAAAAATCATTGAAATGCAGTGGTTGCATAGGAAAAACACTTATTGTTCCCTGATGGAAAGTTAGATTCTTTCTCATTTTGCCTTGTAAAACACATAGAGAATTGGATGTTGGGTGAAAAGCTGCTACATGTCGTGCACTTGTTCAAGTAAAAGCAGTCTGATTACTGCCTGTTTGGCTGACTTTTATTGACTCTATGTACAGTGTTATCTATAAGGATAAAGTTGTCAAATCACACTGTATTTTCCCTGTGGAGGACTACTACAGAGTACTAGAATGCCAGACCTCTATTCTTTGCACCTGTTCATTTTAGTAATAGCTATCTGGGTGCTACTTGTTTGACTGACTTTAATTGACTCTACTTACAGTTTTATCTATAAGGATAAAGTTGTCAAATCACACTGTATATTCCCTGTGGAGGACTACTACAGAGTACTAGAATGCCAGACCTCTATTCTGTACACCTGTTCATATAAAAGCTATCTGAGTATTGCCTGTTTGACTGACACTTATTGACTCTACATATAGTTTTATCCATGAGGGTAAAATTCAGTGTTGTCCCACACTCTGTTACCCTTGTAGAAGACTGCTGTGTACCTTGTTTGATTAAAGCCAGATCCTTAGCTTCTAGTAAGTACTAAGGTTTATGCTTATATGTCTGTTCCAAATCAATGACAGGCCACTCAGATGGTCGATGCTGTACGTGATGCATTTAAAAGAGGTCTACCAGATCTGGAGTGGATGGATGAAAAGACACGCAAGGCAGCTGAAGACAAGGTGTCTAACTGTCAATTGGGTATCCGAGATAACTCTTCCTTAACTCAACTTATTATTCTGATTTCCAGAGCTATTCTACATTAATCTTTTGCTGGCACATTTGTAAATGAATACCTCACTAGATTTAGTGTTTCATTTAGCCTTCATCATGATGATCAAAGCCACAGATATGTGTGAAGCAATTATTTTGATAATTATTTTATTATCATTGATAGTCCAAGATTTATTACTTCTTACAATGATTTAAAAAATTGCAAATGATATTCTGGCTGGTCAAGAAATTAAGGTTGGAATCATCTTGTTTGAGACAAAACACAGGAAACAAAGTTTTCTTTTTAAAAACTTCCAGGCGGATGCAGTGGTAGACATGATTGGATTTCCAGACTACATCAAGGATCCACAAAAACTTGAAGAGAAGTACAAGGGGGTGAGTAGCTAGGAGCAGTTGAGTACGACTTCATAGATGCCAACCTGTGCAGATTTAAAGTCTGGAGATTTTTCTCCCATGCCACCACAGCATCAACTCAGCAGCAACCCCCACCGCTAACTAAAAAAAATTGATGCTCCCCCCAGATTAAATCAATTTCCCTTCCCAAAAAATGAAGAAACTGCTTTTGTTTACAATTATTTATGTCAAGATGTGGTTGCATAAAAAAAATGCTTTGAGAAATAGCAAGATGAGTTTGTAAATTTAAACCAAAATCATTTTGATTTGAGTAAATCTTGGGGTGCAGAGCTTTTGAAAGCTGGTTTATTGCTTTTATCAGGTAGATTTGGTTAACTATGCGGGAAAGTAGGAGACTGGTTTTGTAAAGGGGAGACTCCTGGATGATACGGGAGAGTTGGAATGTTGGCATGAAAACCATGAATTTGCAAAACAATGCTTAGATCAATGCTGCAAGTGAGCTATCTTCCTTGGGCTACACTGAAATGAATGAATGCATGAAAGACTGGGGCTGGCTTGTGTTGATCACAGGCTCTCATTTAATTCTAGGTACAGGATTCTTGTGCACTTAAATTCTAGGCACTGGGTTCTGGTTTTATGAAAGTTTGGTTGAAAGATTCTTGTATATCCAAGTTCATTTTTTACCTGAAATTCCAGTTGATGATAAAAAATGGTCTATCTACAATTTGGTTACAGGGTACTTGTGTCCCTATACTCATCAGTATAGTTTCTAAGTCAAATGTTTGAAAAGAGAAGTCTCTTAAATGGTGAAGGATTTTGAGGTCATTTTCTTGTCTTTTTATTGGGAGGTTTGAAAAAGGGTAATTTGATTAATGAACTTGAGGAAGCTGTATTAAAAATGGTTTTGATTTTTTTTTTTTTTACTGATAGGACATCATTTAAGTATGTTCACTGATTTTGATGTTTGACATTTTTCTTTACATATTTACTCCAACAAATGATGTTATAAATTATTGTATATTTCATCAGCCTGTTATTGGAAAATAATAATAATCTGAAGAATTTTCTTCATTTTCAGCTTGAATTCAGTCCTAAGAATTATTTTCAGAACGTACGCAACTCTGATGACTTCCATCTCTCCAAGACCCTGAATATGCTCCGCAAGCCTGTTGACAAGCATAAGTATGTTTATTCTATGAATAAGACTCACTAATTAGCTTTGGGTAAATTTTTAAAATCCCCAATGCTTTACAGATGGAAATATTTGAAGAAAAGGATTCCAAAATTAGTGGTTAGTCATTAATTTCCAAAGAGAGGCATGGTGGCCCCATGCTTAGTGCACTAGACTCCAGATTGAGTGGCGTAGATGCAAGTCCTTGCTGGGGACATTGTGTTGTGTTCTTGTGCAAGACACTTTACTCTCATCATAGGGCTTCTCTTCACTCCGATGTTTTTAAAAATAGGTAGAGATAAATTTATTTGGGGAGGCAGGGGGGGGGGTAACCCTGTGATGGACTAGCATCCCAGAAATACTCCTAGTCACTCCATGCTACAGAAACTGGAGTTGAGTGCTTTCCAAAGGGGCCACTTGGCTTGTAAACAGACTTTACTTGACTTTTTATTTATTTCAATCTATAAATGAGAGGGAAAAGGGTGAGGTGGGAAGTGGAAGGGTAGAGGGGGTACACAAAACATTGAACCGACACTCCCCACATAATTAGCTGGGACACTTCTCCAGAACTATTCATATGATGTTTTTTCACCTCCTTCCAAAATTTTTCATGAAATATTTGTCTATGCCATCTTCCAGACCAACTTTGAGAGGGGCAGGGGAGGCAGTATTAGAGTCCCAACAGATGTGTCTTGGAGTGTAGCTCCTTCCTTGCAAAATCTAATAATATTTCCTTTTCTTTTAAGTCTTGTGGCAATTCTTACTTTATTTTTTTAATGAATCTAGTCCTTTTCATTTATAATGAATTTATTCCTATTTTATGTGTTTGAATTGATACTCTTCATCAGTATGAGGAATATAAACTGTATGCCAGGGCCCAGTTGTTCAAAGGCTGACTAGGGTTAACCCAGGGTTACCGTAAATTTTTATCCAGGTTTCTTCATCCCCATGTGTAAAAAACCATTCTCAGATAATTTCTCATACTACTCTTTAAAAGGCATCCAATCGTCAAATTGCAGACCAAAATAATTGTAGTGAATTTTCAAGATTAGATTTCACACTAACCCAGGGTTATCTTAACCCAGCTTTGAACAACTTGGCCCTGAACTCTTTCAGCTTTACCTGCTTAGTGGTGGATGTGAAAAGACCAAATTCTTGAAACAAACATCTGAGCAAGGAGGTCCAGCTTCGTTGGTGTGTTCTTTGTTTGGTTGGGCTGTCAAAGTTTGAGTGGGAGAATTTGAAGAGAAATTTATTCAGCTGTTATGTAGCTACTCAGAAATCTGTTGTGAATCCAACGATCAGTTTATTTTGTCATATCAATTTTCCTTTTTCTCTTAATGAATGAATGAATGAATGAATGAAAAACTTTATTTAAGTGTCTATGTTTTTAGCTATAAGCTAATGGGGGACACTAAAAAATTTAAAAGTCACATACATTTACATAATTATGTAGATGATAGTTATTTACAGTAGATAATTAAAAAGATTATAAAGTTATTTAGTTAAGTTTTAAATTTTAACGAGAGTTGAAAGGTCCACTTTTCTTATGTTCTTTCTTAATCTCTTCTGTAACAGGTGGTATATGACACCACAAACTGTCAATGCTTACTATAGTCCATCCAGGAACCAGATTGGTAAGTTTATTTGTTTAGTCAGTTGCCCAGAGAAAACACAGTCATACTCCACTGCTTATTGTTATCATAACCAACACCATTGGCCTTAAGTTTTCTCGTTGTCTTAATTATCATCATCATCATTATTCTCTGTAACATTATTTCAGATCTTCTTTTTAGTGTAACTATTTCATATTATTGTAATCTGTTTTTATCCATATTTTTTATTTTTTTACAGGCCCTGCATTGATAGCAGGTTTTTATAAAACTGATGTAGCAATCCTGTATAGACATGTTTAAATTATTATTATTATGCAGCAGTTTAAAACTTTTGTATGCTATATACAGTAAGAATAGTATTACGGGACGCATGAGCGTAGCCCGTTAACTATTATAATAGTGAAAAAAAAATCTCGAGAAATTAAAAAAAAAAAATAGGTATTTCGGGTATCCGAATCTAAAATAGTCGTTATAATTAATCTTTAAAAACCTATTACTTATTTCAGCTTTGAAAGAGTTAATCAGTGACGATCACTTCCTAATTTTCTTATAATCCACAGAATTTTTGAAGGCAAAGAATTAAATAGAAAGCATTTTTCATTGTTCATGTTACAACTTTAAATGACCGAGAGATATTTAGTGTTCCCAAGATCAAAGCCTTCTGCATATTTTGAAGAACTCCCTTACTCTTGTTTCCGACCAACTCCTTCATTTCGGCCTCTATTATTATTTGACTTCTTTAGTATTATTATTATAATAATTACTATTATTATTATTATTAGCATTATTTGTTTGCTGGAAAAGAGTGAAATGGGCATTACCATCCTGGGAGGTATGGGGGCATACCCCCCCTTTGCAAAAAATTGGGAAAAAAATTGAAGTAGCTAAGATGTGCATTCCTTTATTCTGAGCAAGAATTTTCCATTGTTGGAAAGTGTTTGAAGGGAGTGGAAAGGAATTAAGGAGTTAATTAGGATAATTAATTTGATAGGCACTTAACTACAGCAGCAGTTTGACATTTCATCAACAGTTTAAATCAGAAACCTTAAATGTGTGAGAAATAATAGTTTCAGAGTGAGAGCATAAGATTGATTTCATTCGTATGAGCCTTGAGAGTAAGGTGTTATTGTAAATTGTTATATTTCTTACCATCCTTATTATTAACCTTATTGCTGTTGCTATGCTACAGTAACTGCTTTCATTACAGTAATCTTTACATCTTTTCTTACTACTTCATCATAAATTATGTACAAAAGGTTGAGTGAAAAGTAAACTGTGAGTCAAAGAAATTTGAGAGGTGTTTGACTGGTTATTGTCACTTGTTACCTTGCAGTATTCCCAGCAGGAATTTTGCAAGCTCCATACTATAACAGGAACTTCCCAAAGTAAGTTGAATTTACCATGTTTATCACGATGTCACACAAAATTGTAATTGTTATTGATAATTAAAGGATCACAATTTTATAATCATGGCTTTTATTAACTCATGATGGTTATATTTTTTAATATCAATTTTATGGTTTCAGTGGACATGTCTTCATCGTATGTTAAAAACCTTTTCATTCTGTCTGTTCATTTACTGTTAGGGTTGTGAACTTTGGAGAAATTGGAGCAGTGGTGGGCCATGAACTTACTCATGCCTTTGACAATTCAGGTATAGAGAGGAGTTTGTGTATAAAAATACTTAGCAATTGCTTACATGCAATTTTTTTTGTATTTTCTTTTTATGCAGAGCATTGAAATAATATGCAAGACACTAGTGTTCACCATCTCCTCCCCCCTCAGAAACTCTACAATAGTGAGGTCATGTCCTAATCATGAAGAAATGAAGTGAAAGGAAATGAAACTAATTATCAAGTGGAAAAACAACATATCACCAACATCAGATTAGCAAACAAAAAGTTACCTTAAAGTCCTTTGATGAAATCCTGAATGATCTCGGGTTAATTCTAAGCTTCAAGGAACTTTTGTCCAACAAGGAACATTGTCTGACCAACTTCTTTCCTGAAGAATTCTCCATTCAGCTGATTTGTGAATTTGTTTACATAGGTCGCATGTATGATAAATATGGAAATTATGGGACACTGTGGTGGACACAAAAATCTGTGGAACAATATGAGAAGAGGAGTGCATGTATGATACAGCAGTATTCAAACTTTTCTTACTTTAATAAGAATGTAAGTGAAATGGTTTTCTACCTCTTAGCCAATAGCTGTGTAGTATTGGAGTTGCATTTTTTTTTTTAACTTATTGATTTGCAGATGACTGGACAAACAGGCTGACTGACTGAATAAATGGCTGACTGACTGACTGACTGATGCTCTGAATGACCAACCAACTGACTTATGGTTTGAGTGACTGATTGACTGCCTGGCTGACTGACTGGTTGATTGATTGATTGACCAACTGACTGACTAACTGACAGATTGATTGACTGATTGACTGGTTGATTGATGTCTGACTGATTGACTGGTTGATTGATGGACTGATGACTGACTGACTGACAGACCATCTGACTGACCGACTGATTGACTGGTTGATTGATGGACTGATGACTGACTGACTGACTGACAGACTGACTGACTGACTAACCATCTGACTGACAGACTGACTGACTGATTGACTGGTTGATTGATGGACTGATGACTGACTGATTGACTGGTTGATTGATGGACTGATGACTGACTGACCAGCTGACTGACCGACAGACTGACAGACTGACTGATTGATTGATGGACTGATGACTGACTGACAGACTGACTGATTGACTGATGACTGACTGACCAAATGACTGACTGACTGACTGACAGACTGACTGATGACTGACTGACAGACTGACTGACTGATTGACTGATTGACTGGTTGATTGATGGACTGATGACTGACTGACAGACTGACTGGCTGACTGGTTGACTTACTAACTGATTGAATGACTAATTGACTGCTCAGCTGACTGACTTATTGACCAACCGGTTTTTTTGAATGACTGATTGACTGACTAACCGACCAACTTATTGACCTTTTAGGGATGGAAGAAATTCAATCAAACCAATGAAAATAATTTTGTTACTGCAAGAAAAAAATCATGCTATGTTATANTTGGTGCAGAAATTATTGCAAATGCGGCAATTTGGAATAATCAAGTGGATTCAAGAAATCTTCAATGATTCTCTCAGATATCTTTTTACCAGGATGTGGGTAGAAAAAAATTTGTTTAAGGAATCTTTTGGGACAATTGCCTTCTCATGCTTTGTTACAAATCAGTTACAGATAACCAGACTATTAACAAAGAGCTTTGCTTCTACCAACATACTACACAAAGGACATCACTGAAAATCTGAGAAAGGATGTGCAAAGGCTTAGCATGTGATGAGCCCATCTGACCATGTCTAGGTTTCAATGAAAATACTTTTCTGCCTCCATCAGTTGCCTAAAATGCTAATAAAGCTCTAGACATTTCTTTTGTTACTTACATGGAGAATTTGTTGAACATTGTTTGCAGTCTCAACCATTATTCCCATGACCTCAATATTTAAGTCAGGGTTTGAATTAATGGAAGAAATTTAAGTTCTCAATAGCCCTTTTCCGAATTACCCTTGGCCTCATTTTCAAAACGAGTCCTGGTGCTCATCCTTTCATATGATAATAAGTTTTCATTCACATGCAAATTAAACTCATTTTCACAAGAATGGTTGAGCACCAGCTAGGCCTTGTTTTGAAAAAGAGGCCAAGGGTAATTTGGAAATGGGCTATTGCTGTACTATAGTTTAAACTAACAAATAGAGGCAGGTTATTGTCATTCAGATCAATAACAATTACCTTTTGTCAATAATATACTTGCATTCTTGTTTGAACAGGCTTATAAGGAATGGGAAAAGAAAGAAGGCGTCGAACCTCCTCTCCCTCTTCTTAACATGACAGCAGATCGAACATTCTTCACAGCATTTGCACAGGTACATTGTTGTTCGTAGGACTTGTTGTTGCTATTTTCTAGATGTTTAAGCTTTAATATCAGTGTGTATATTCTTCATAGAATTGTATAATTGAATGAAATCTGGCATTCTGATTGGTTAATGAAGCAAGGTATTTAGCATGGAATTGTGAGTTGAAAACAAGGCTAAGTGATCTTGTTTCCCATCTTTTGTTTTGTGCTCAGGATACAAACAAACAATATTATTGCTGTTTTCTTTTTTTCTTATTCTTTTTTTTATTTGACCCATGAATTCCAGATTAGATTAAACTATTGCACCAATCATGCAACGATGAGTGCGATATCCATTTCCAGAGGCAATTTAATTTAATTTTACTATGAAGTTCTCTGTATATTACCTTTTGTATTGTTAGAAATCTCAAGTTTATTTTACTGAGCAATTGTTTCCTTTTTTCTCTAGACCCTAACATTTGATTCAGTGATAATGCTGTAAGGAGAAATTAGATATTAGTCACCCTCAGCGGTTAAAAAGTCAAAGAAATATTTCATAACTGACTTGTATGGATATTTTTCACAGAGCTGGTGTGCGAACATAAGAGAACAGGTTGCGATAGTCAGGCTGGATTCTGACTCTCACTCACCCGATAAATTCAGGTATGAATGTTAACCCATTACACCCTAATATCAGTATTTTTATTCTCCATACTGTTCTTTATACATTTTCTTTGGTACTGATGAGGAGAAATAATTTAACAATCACAGCTTTGTAGGTTGGCTATATTTTCCTTTAATCTCATGATCTCAATTATTGATTCAGCAGCATTAGAGGGTGGTAAAGGGTATTTTCATGATTTGTGAATGGCCTATTTTTTTCCTGTGAAATGTGAAACGGCTTGTTTTTTTTTTTCCTTGTGAATCATAATTTCATTAGTCACCGTGAACCATGATTTTCCAAAATAATAATAATGGTCTTTATTAAAAGCAATAATGTATCAACCGTGTCATTATTTATAAAGAATGAAATATAAAACAGATTAAGATAGAAAATACCACTATCTATTAATGGCAGACAATGCTGTGGAATGAGACAGAAGAATTTAATTTGTTGTGAACCGTGCTTTTGGTTGTAGTTTCGACAGTGAAGTTATTTCCCATGAATTGTGAAAGGACCAATTTATTTTCCGTGAGACATGATCTTGACCCCCCCCCCCTTTTACCACTCTCATATTACAGTTAGGAGAAAGTAGATGGTGGTCACTCTTAGGGTTGAAGGGTTAAAGGAGATTCTTCAAATTTTTAGCACTGCAGTTCCTCAAGTCTTGAATGTTTTCACCTGAAATCAACCACATTTGTTTCAGTTTTTTTTAGACTTGGCAGTAAATAGCTCTCTTTTATTAACCCTTTTACAACCAATATCTCCTCATTAATTCTCCTTATTGTCTGCCATTCAATTCTTATGTTAGTTCAGAGAATTTGGTGTTGGATAAACTAATAATCCCCTTATTAATATTATTCTTTATTCTCATCACTTGACTGCATGATATTGTATTGATAGTGTTAGGAGAAATTCTATCTTCAAGTTGAGTTCAAAGGCACACAAACTTTCATTTTGTTCTTTAGAGTCCTGGGTTCATTGTCTAACTCCGAAGATTTTGCTGCAGCCTTCGATTGTTCTCCAGGAAGCAAAATGAACCCTCGTAACAAATGTCACATCTGGTAGAGATACTGATTCTCTTGAACACTGTCTCAAAAGAGAACTTATTTAATAGTGAAGTCACTGAAATCTCTATATTAAAAAGTCACCATTTCCTGGCAGACTCTTAAATTTCAAACAATCCTTGTTAATATATACTTTAATTTTTTATTTATGCATGCAGTTTCAATTCTTCTATTTGATTTCATGTCGTTTTTTGTTACCTTTGATTTAGTTATTTTTATAAGGCTTTCACTTCCAGATCTCATTGGTAACTCCCCTTACTTTCTGCCATACAACTTTTATAATATTAGTTTGGAGAATTTGGTTTTGGATCAACTAATGATCCCTTGAGTGATGTTTTTCTTACTCTCGTCCTTTGTCTGCTCGATACTATACTGAAATTGTAGGGAGAAATTCCATCTTGGTCTCTCGATCACGGCAGTTGAACTAGAATCTCAAGGTCTTCTTTAATTTAAATACTTAAACAAAAGGACTTTTTTTAATTTGCAAGTCATGCCAGTGACTTAAAATGTTGTAGTAATTAAACTTATTCCAAGGTAAAAGGTGGTACACAAGGAATTTTATTTTAATTATTGCTATTGATTACTTGAAGTACTAATTAATATAAATGTAATTTTCAGTGAAGGGGCTTTGTTATAGTTTTTTAGCATTTGCTTATTGTCAGAAAGGAAAATGTAATTGTTATTATTTACTATGTAGGTAGTGTTTATTTAATTTTAAATACTGGTACTCATTTATGTGTAGAGTGTTTCCTAGACATAATCTTGTTCACAAAGATAATGTGAGAGTATAAATGGCAAATTGATCATTTTGGTCAGTAAAGGTACAGCTGGCTTGTACATAAGAGGACGCATGAAATAAGTGTGGTTTTTTGGTAGTTTTGGTAAATTATATCTTTTGTTTTGTTTCTTATTTCCATTTTAAATAGGAAAATAGGGTAATGAGAAAATGTAGATACACACATCAAAAAAGAGACGTAATGCTGTATAAGGGCCAAATTTCATCATTAATATATTTTATTACATGACTTGGGAAGTCAGAGGGCCAATAACTAAAATCAACCAATCAAAATGCTCTATTGTCGGTCAATATTCTCTCAGTATTGGACCGGGCACTGTCCCAAATGGTCACGAATGATACCACACTGGTGTCCCTTTGAACTTCAGTCGTGTAAAATATCTTTTATTAACCAAGCTTGCTTGGGACCGTACTGGAAGAATATCGGCCCTCGGTCTTTTTTGTACAGACCTCGCTGCGCTCGGTCCATACAGTCGAGACCTCAGGCCGATATTCTCCCAGTACGACCCTCGCGCTTGGTTAA